CAGTGTACACAGCACCGCCAGGGTGGCGCTGGACCCTGGAGACGTCCACTCTCAGGTCATCTGTGAGGTGGCCCACATCACCTTGCAGGGGATCCCTCTCCGTGGGACTGCCAACTTGTCTGACACCATCCGAGGTAGAGGAGCCCACACCCAGCCCAAGCCTAGCCCTTTGCATTAAACCTGCAGCCAGGGGGATTTGGGAGGATGAGCTGACATTAAAATTGCAGCCAGAGGGATTTGGGAAGATGAGCTGACATTTAAATTGTGATTTATATGTATAGACTCCTAGATTATTTTATAACAAGCATGGGTACTACTTTCAACATTTTTTTATTGAGACAGATAAAGGGTCCCTTTGTCACACTTGGTAGAGTGCTGTGGTGTCATAGCTCACAGCAAACATAAACTCTTGGGCTCATGTGATTCTCTTGCCTCAGCCTTCATAGTAGCTGGGACTACAGGCGCCGGCCACAACTCCTGGCTAATTTTTGTTTGTTTGTTTAGCAGGCTGGGGCTGGGTTCGAACCCATCAGCCCTGGAGCACGTGGTAGGTGCCCTAACCACTGAGAAATGGGCATCTAGCATCAACATTTTTTAAAGGCAAAATTTAAAAATTTATCATAACTGCACCAGGGATGGTGTGAGCCCAGCTCTTTGTGATGCAGGAGACCTCCAGGGCATGGCTTCTAGGGACCAGTGGCTTTTGTTCCAGGGCTTAAACTGGCTGGAATATAATTCCTAACTGTCCTGCCCACCTACCATGTACCCCAATGTGCCACTCTCATTCTGATGGCATCTGCTGTGCCAAGCACTGTGCCTGGTACTTTGCTTATTTCTCCAATAGCAACCGCCGTTACTGAGCACCTGCTGGGAGCCACACCCCGGGTGCTTGGCAGTTTCATCTGTTTTGCTGCAGTTATTAGATTCTCACTGCATCCCAGGGGTGGTGCTTGTTGATTTCACTCAGTCATATCCTAATAGGTGCCACCAGTTCTTGAACACCTACTGTGTGCTCAGCTTGAACGTAGCACTTTCACTCACAGGCAAAGAGAGCCCTCTATGTTTCAGCCCCTGCTGCATACCTAGCTCTGTCCTGGGTGATGCCCTTGCCCTGGTGGGGGAGCTAAGTTATCCAGCTCATCCTCTGTGACCTGCCTGTGCCATATCAAAGCTTCTGCCCTGTGCTATTTCAGTTCCGCCTACCTTGGAGGTTACCCAGCAGCCCACGATGGCGGGGAACCAGGTGAACGTCACCTGCCAGGTGGAAAGGTTCTACCCAGAGAAACTACTGCTGACCTGGTTAGAAAATGGAAATGTGTCCCGAACAGAAACAGCCTTGACCCCCGTAAAGAACAAGGATGGGACCTACAGCTGGACCAGCTGGCTCCTGGTGAACTCCTCTGCCCACAGGGACGCCGTGGTGCTCACCTGCCAGGTGGAGCATGACGGACAGCCACCGGTCAACAGAAACCATACCGTGGTGTTCTCTCCCCACCCGAAGGAGCAGGATTCAGTCACCACCCCTGGTGAGTTAACTACAGGCTTTTAAATTTATCTTTTTTTTTCATGTTAAATGGAGTATTCACACTTGTGATAAAATAATCTAGAAGTCTATAAATAGAAAGCAGAATCTTAAAGTCAATTCATCCCTTCAAATCCCACACTCCAAGAGTCAGCACT